TTAATTGTTTTGCCTACTTTTAAATTTTCCAAGAAATATCTTTTTGTTTTAAACTCCTGCTTCCTCACATTTACTTCTTGTTGTCCCAAGTAATTTCTTTAAAGCATCCTCCAAAAACACCTTTTTCTCTATTCATAAACCCAGAGTGAAGGAAAGTCTACCTTTTTTCTGGAGTCAGCATCAATTTAATTTCTCATTACAGGTATTATTATAAAATACTTGGTCTATAAGTCACTTGAAAAAATGCCTTTATTCAAATAACTATGTTAACAAATTAATTAAAACCAAACAGTAACAGAAGGCTTTGAATTTGTAAAGCCATACAGAAAGAGTGCGATAGCACCAGCATTGTGATTCATGTGACAAATAGGAAAGGAGCTGTGACTTGTTGCATTCGTCACGGTAAGACAGTAAGCTCATCTTACGTTTACACAGTGCTATTGTTTAAAGTGCATTCTTTCTTTGCACTATAAAGTTATTCTGACTAAACATTATTTTCCAATGACAATTGTTATGGAACTCAATAAATATGCTTAAATAACTAGTATTTGAAATATTTTCACTGAATTTGATTTTTTCAAAAGCTCGAGGAGTACTTTCACAGTGGTACTTTCAGCCAGCTGACAGCATCATTGATTTGTCAGGGAGGAGATCATGCTTCAAATTCTGAGTATAAAATTAAGTAGAAAACCCACTGCCTCTAGAATAGTTTCTTTGTTGGCACTTTTATTTCATCTTGTCTGTTTTTCCAAATATTAGTGTTATGCTGCAACTTTAATAAGACAAGTTCCAATAAAACAAACGCTGCAATTTTCGACTGACATTTTTCTTTTAAAGCTGTTTTTTCAATCATGTCCCTGGCACATGTAAATATGCATGGAAAATATGAAAGATAGAATCCCTGCCTTTGTAGAATTTAACCCTATTCTCAATAAACTAAACAACTAGTGCAACATTTTGAAGAATGAAAATGCAATCCTAATACTCAATGAATTTTGATTTTTAAACCCTGAGTGCCTAATATAGTTTTAACTGTTTTTTGTTTATTCCCTTTAGTGCTCATTTATTTAAGTAAATCAACCAGTGGCATCTATCATAGCCACAATTATGTGTGCACAAGTTGGAGAAATGATCATGCCTCCTTTTTCTACTCACTGAGATACTTGTACTGTTTATAAGGTACTGATTTGACATGATTAATCAAGAAAAGCTTCACGGATGAGGAAACTCTCTTAGATACTAGTTGACATTATAGTTGGTCCCTATCTCTTCCTTTGTCTCTTCTGGCAATTACTTAATTTTAAATTACAAATTTCAATATATGACTTTCAAAAATTACCATGTTCTTTTTTAAAAGTACACATTATCACATTTCTTATGTTAAAACTCAGCTATGAGGTAATGATGTTAAGACTCATAGTTTGAGGCAAAAACATCTATTGTTTGGGACTTAAAAATAACATATTTATAAAATAAGAAAAGCAAATAACATCTTTTCTTTCACTTCATATTTTCACAAAAGATCTCAAAATGCTTTACAAAAATTAATTTTTCCATAATACTTTCATGAGATAGCTCTATATTCTTCTCCCAGTAACTGAGGTAGGGGCCTGGCCAGTTAGCTGACTTGGCAGAATGTGGTGCTGGTAACACCAGGGTCAAGGGTTTGGATCCCCATTCAGGCTGGCCACCAAAAAATACAAAAAACAAAAACAAACAATAGTAACTGAGGCAACTAAGACAGCAACTAAGCAGGATTTTCCTATTCTCCAAGTTGCATAGGTTTGGGACTAAATTTGACCATTCAGAAACTGCAACAAATTATTGTTTTAAATACTCATTGTTCCATTTAGCAGTGAGTTTATTCCTAAAGCATTAATACTGTACCAAATTTCATCTTAAGACTCTTTGATGAAATTCTTTTAAAATAGATTACACATTTCAGTGAGTACTCTTCAGTCCTCTTGGATACATGTATACTTAATCTTATTTATCTTTTTCTGTGTGATTGAGAGCCATAAATATCAGCCTTATTTATTGTACAGTGTTGTGACACGGTGACGTTGTTATGAGGTGAGGGCTATTTGTCCTTATACTAAAAAATGTCATTGGGCCTCCTTTTTAGTTTTTCTGCCTCCTATCTTACTGTCATTTCCTTTATTTTTGGTGTGCCTACTGATAGTAGCTTCTTCCTTCCTTTTCTTTTTTTTATTAGCTTAATCTACTGAGGGAAACCAACCAACTTGGCTTGTTAGAATTGTCTCAAGCAAAGTATAAATAGAGTCCAAGAGACAGGCTATAGAATTCTCCAGAGAGAGTGCAGGACACTAGTGTGTGGATTTTGTCACATCAGCACTGGCTCTTAGAAGCATGTTTTCCTTACTTCTTGGTTTTGGGCAAGGATCCAACTGGGTGAAGTGTTACAGTACAAAGTTTACCTACAGCATTGAGAGAAAGGCAGAAGTAATTAAATTGTTCGTATTCTGTTTGTTCTGTGGCTTCTTTGCAGAAAAGTCAAAGGTTTCACTTTAGTAAGATCAAGATTCCTAACCTAAGCAATATTTTCCTGTTGTAAACTTAAGTCATACCTCTAATATAATCAATAGCAAGCATATGAATGATTCACTTCCTTTTCAAATAGGATTACTAAGATAATGCATGATTAATATGAGCAATCTGCCATGTTTCCAAAAATAGATATTGTGCAAAAAGCGAGAAAGATTTTGTCAACCTCTATCATTTCTTTCATCTTTATAATACTACTGACATACAAAAAATTTTTGATTTATATTCTCTTCATGACCCAGCCATGCAAACTGTATAACACTGCCTAAACCTGAGTACTTTTCAGTGTTAGAATTTTCTTAAGTTTTAACAAGAGCATTTGTTCAATATTTATTATACAAAAATGAAGTGTGAGGGCTAATCGTGTGTTGTCAGGAATAGAAATAAAACATGATATGTTTTATTCCACTGGAGTAGATGTAGCCCTTTCAAAGTAACATATGCTGAACATTTCACTTACGGAACAATTAAGCCTTTAATTATCATTATTTCAGTTTATCTGTATAGCCAAATACGAAAATAACCTTTATTTGTTTTTTATAAAAAGAATTTTTAAAAATCTCCTAGAATTAGTTTTCTCTAAGCTTTACATGTCCTAACATCCACTTTTTGGAGGTTTTTAGTTGAAGCACACACTGCCATCAGTAAGGATACAAATTGGATCACTGTCAGGCTTAGAAACCACGATCCTTGTGACACTCACAGTTTGGGCACTGGTGTCCTCTTGGCCTTCTCCTGGAGGGACTTTTGCAAATTTTTTTTTTCCACTGACAAGTTTTACTGGACAGAAGGCCAGGATATTGGCCTCTTATGAAACAAGAAAGATAGAAAACTTGCAGTCCTTTGGGAAGTAACTGTTGGAAGATTTTTTATGATTTTAGAATAATAAAGCTATACTTTTCTGAGATTAAATATATTTTTCCAATGTGCTGAAACAAACCAATTTTAGACTGTCAACTGAATGAGTATGTATTAGCTTGTTTTTGTTACTTATACCAGAAATACCTGAAATTGGATAATTTATAAGGAAACAATATTTATTGCTTACAGTTTTGGAGGCTTGGAAGTCCAAAGTCCAGAAAACACATCTGGTGAGAGCCTTGTTGGTGGGTAGTGACCCTTCACAGCAAAGCAGAGTGTCACTTGGGGAGTGGAAGAAGCAGAGAGAGCACTAACTTCTCACTCCTCCTTTTAAAGCCCTCACAACCATGCCCACGACTGCCATTAAACTATCCATGGATTAATCCATTTACTTGAGCATGGTCCTCACAATCTATTACCTCTTTAAGGCCCACTTTTCAATTACTATAATAGGATTTCCCATCCTCTCATCACTTTCACAGTAGGGGTTAAGTTTCTAATACATGGACTTTGGGGGACACAGTTCAATTCACAGCACAGTACAAATTTGAGTACAGCATTTTACTTCTTTTAACTAGATTTAGACATGGATGTGAGCATTTCAAATACTCTACAAACCCTCTTTGAATTGCTACATTAGATGCAGGTAAAATTATTGTAACTCTCAAAAATAAAATCTTCTTGAAACATCTGGATCTCTTAAAACTCATTTCCATTTAAATTTCCAGACAGTTCAATCAAAGTCCTTTCTGGTTGCTATCATTCTAATCTAGAGAGGTATCTCTAAATTGATTTATGGTTGTGTGATCAGCAGACCAAGTTTCCACATACTTCTCCATTCTTAAATGACTTACAAACATTGAGCACGTGAGTATAGGCAGTTCTTAATCTCTCTACTTTTTCCCCTTCAATTTCCCTTGGGTTTCTTTATCTCTTTCTATCCT